GTCAGCCTTCCTGCTCCTATGATGCTGCTTGGCCTTCCTGGTTCAGGGCAGGTTTACCAACACTGCACTTCAAGAGGGCCAAACAGCTTGTTAACAATAGGATATGGCGTGATAAGCCACCAGCACACGTGGCAGTGGTTTGATACAAGCCTATGCACAACTGAACTATTTCAGGGGCTGAGGCGCTGAATTCCAGCTGGTCAGGCCAGTGCCTGTTACCAAGGGGACTCAGTCAGTGAGCTCCATGAGGAGATTAATTAGTGATTCTCCATAGGCCTTGTAGGGATTGTCACAGTGACCCATGTGATTTGAATTTCCCTGGTATATTGATGGCTTTTGGGGGTAAATTCACGCCTGAAAGGTACAGGGCTCAATGTACAGAAATCACTAAAATCTAGTAGTCAGATACAAAAATAATTAAGAAAGATGTTTTGAATGCTAATCTTTATCTCAAGGGACTGGAATTCAAGGACACGGAGGTTCTGCTACAGTGTTATGAAACTCTGATTAAATTTCATGTACTGTCTTCAGTAGGAAACAAGGATCTGACAGGGCTCTAGAGGGTTACAAGGTAGCCAGGAAGGAACTGAAGAATGGACTTGGGAGAGCTAGAAGGGGGTATGAAAAAGCCTTGGCTGGTAGGATTAACGAAAACCCCAAGGCATTCTATACTTATGTGAGGAACAAGACGATGGCCAGAGTGAGAGTGGGGTCGATCAGGGATAGTGGAGGGAACTTGTCCGTGGAGTCAGAGGAGGTGGGGAGGTCCTTAATGAATACTTTGCTTCAGTATTCACCAGTGAGAAGGACCTTGACGTTTGTGAGGTCAGCGTGAAACAGGGCTGATATGCTCAAACAGGTTGATGTTAGGAAGGAGGATGTACAAGGAATTCTGAAGAAGATGAGGATAGATAAGTTCCCTGGGCCAGATGGGATATACCCAAGGTTTCTATTGAAAGCGAGGAAAGAGATTGCTGCGCCTTTGGCGATGATCTTTGCATCTTCACTGTCCATTTGAGTAGTACCAGATGATTGGAGGATGGCAAATGTTATTCCCTTTTTCAAAATAGGGATAATCTTGGGAATTACAGACCAGTCAGTCTTACTTCTGTGGTAGGAAAATTATTGGAGAGGATTCTGAGAGATAGTATTTATGATTATTTGTAAAAGCACAGTTTGATTAGAAATAGTCAGTATTGCTTTGTGAAGGGCAGGTGATGCCTCACAAGCCTTATTGAATTCTTTGAGGATGTGACAAAACAAATTGATGAAGGTAGAGCAGTGGATGTGGTATATATGGATTTTAGCAAGGCATTTGATAAGGTTCCCCATGGTAGGCTCATTCAGAAAGTAAGGAGGCATGGGATTCAGGGAAATTTGGCTGTCTGGATACAGAATTGACTGTCTAATAGATGACAGAGGGTGGTAGTAGATGGAAAGCATTCAGCCTGGAGCTCGGTGACCAGCGGTGTTCCACAGGGATCTGTTCTGGGACCTCTGCTCTTTGTGATCTTTGTAAATGACTTGGATGAGGAAGTGGAAGGGTGGGTTAGTAAGTTTGCCGATGACACAAAGGTTGGTGGAGGTGTGGATAGTGTGGAGGGCTGTTGTAGGTTGCAACGGGACATTGACGGGATGCAAAGCTGGGCAAAGAAGTGGCAGATGGAATTCAACCTGGAAAAGCATGAAGTGATTCATTTTGGAAGGTTGAATTTGAATGCAGAATATAGGGTTAATGGCAGGATTCTTGGCAGTGTGGAGGAACAGAGGGACCTTGGGGCCCACGTCCATAGATCCCACAAAGTTGCCACCCAAGTTGATAGGGTTGTAAAGAAGGCGTATGGTGTGTTGGCTTTGATTGGCAGGGGAATTGAGTTTAAGAGCTGTGAGGTTCTGCTGCAGCTCTATAGAACCATGGTTAGACCACACTTGGAATATTGTATTCAGTTCTGGTTGCCTTATTATAGGAAGGTTGTGGAAGCTTAGAGAGGGTGCAGAGGAGATTTATCAGGGTGCTGCCTGGACTAGAGGGCAGGCCTTATGAGGAAAGGTTGAGTGAGCTTGAGCTTTTCTCCTTGGAGCGAAGAAGGATGAGAGGTGACTTGATAGAGGTTTACAAGATGATGAGACGCATAGATAGAGTGGATAGTCAGAGACTTTTTCCCAGGGCGGAAATGACTATTACGAGGGGGCATAATTTTAAGGTGATTGGAGGAAGGTATAGGCGAGATGTCAGAGGTAGGTTCTTTACACAGAGAGAGGTGGGTGCGTGGAATGCGCTGCCGGCAGTGGTAGTGGAGTCAGATACGTTAGGGACATTTAAGCGACTCTTGGATAGGCACATGGATGATAGTAAAATGTAGGGTACGCAGGGTAGTTTGATCTTAGAGTGGGATAATAGGTCGGCACAATATCAAGGGCTGAAGGGCCTGTACTGTGCTGTACTTTTCTATGTTCATTACTAGGCATGGTACCTCACGCTATATTGGCATTGAGATGATGTTGTGCAGGTTCACTAGAAAGGTACTGAGGTTGAAAGATGAAGTTAAAGATTTAAGATGTTGGAAAGATTTGATAGTGTAAATAAACAAATGGTTTTCTGTGGTGTCAGAACAAGGGTACATAACCTGAATTTGCGAAGAACTCACCTGTACAGGATTGATATTAAAAATGGACTTGTCATGCAGAAGTGTAGTGAAACTTTTGAACTCTATCTCTCAAAGTGTTGAGGTTAGATTAATCGAAAACTTAAAATCCAAAATACTTGGGCCGACTTTTTCACGGAAAGGTAAGGGCTCCACCCGAGTCAAAATGACACCAAAGCCATGTCTCCAGAAGTCCCATCCTTGTATCTGACACCCAGAATTTTCACTGGGTGGATAAGAATGGAGATGGGACATATCTGACACATGCACAATTTGTTGAGGTGGTGGCACGTATGAAGTGTAGTTTCATTCACTTGGAAGCTCTTTATATCACCAAGGTTTGTGAAACACAATTTGGGGATCTGTAAGTTTGAGTAAGATTTCTAAGTCTGCAAGAGTTGTTTGGTGAAGTCAGGTACCCTTTCAGAGACCTTTGAACATTTTCACCAAATGCCACAGAACTTCGGCAGGCCTGCAGCTAACACCCAAGGTGAGTTTGATGGGAGCCCTGTGGCCTTGGAAGGGTAGATTTTGTTTTGCCCCTCATAACTGGAGCACTCAGGTGGGAGCAAGATAAGCAGATTTGCACCACAAAGGCAGGTGAGTAGAAGAGCTCCAGTGTAGGGACCATGAGTCAGAATCTGTGTGGAAGAACTGATTAAGAAAATAAAGCCCAATTGCATGTATAAAAATACAAAACTTGCCTTTGGAGGCAGCACTGGGCACACCAGGCAGGAGGAGGAGAATAACCAAAATTTACTCTGAAGTAAGAGTCAAATGACAGCAAAATCATATCTGGAAATGACAGAGAACTAACGCCCAGGAAGTCTTAGATTATCCTGGAAATTGGTTACCGACATATGTGCAAAAGTCCGCCAATCATCATGCTTTGTATGTGGCATTCAAGGTCATAGTGACACTGAATTTTCAAGCTGCCAACTCTTTTCAGGGCTCAGCTGGAGCTCTCTCCAGTATGTCACAATCACTTATACACATGTGCATCAAGGCCTTCGGAGATACCCTCTTGGTTTAGGTGGGGGAGCACATGAGCCTCCCAGTTGATATGGCATTGCAGTCACAGAGGACAAGGAAGTTGCCAAACCAGCAGGCTTCCCTTAGGTACAGGGGGCTGTTGACTGCACCCACGTCGCCACAAGGCACTCAGTGATCCATATGTTTTTTTTTAATTTGCTCATGGACATGAGCATCACAGGCGGGGACAGCATTTATTGCCCATTCTTAGTTGCCCTTGAGAATATGGTGGTGAGCTGCCTTCTTGAACCATTGCAGTCCATCTGCTGTAGATAGACCTGTGATGCTGTTAGGGAGGAAATTCCAGGACTTTGACCCAGAGACACTGAAGTAAGGGCAATATATTCCCAAGTCAGGATATTGAGTGGCTTGGTTATCTGCTGTTCTTGTCTTTCTAGATGGAAGTGATCGTGGGTTCAGAAGATGTTATGGAAGATACCTTGGTGCATTTTTGCATGCATCTTGTACGTTGTGCACACTGTTACTACTGAGTATAGGTAATGGAGGTGGTGGATGCTTATGGATGTGGTGCCAATTAAGTGGGCTACTTTTTCCTGGATGGTGTCAAGCTTCTGGAGTGTTGTTAGAACTGCACACATCCAGGAAATCGGGGAGTAGTCCATCACACTCCTAAACAAGAAAATTCTTCCACTCATTGAAGGTGGAAGTAGTGTGTGACCTCACCAATATATGTGCACAAAACCCTGAAACTGACCCCAATCTTTGTTGTAACTGTCTCAACTTTTTCAGATATCAACATAGGAGTGTAGCTTGCTTCTGGGGGATAAGTTAATGACCCCTTTAGACAGCTGCAAACAACCTAAAAGTATGTTCACATGTTGATTTACATTATAAGCTGGATATTGGCATCTTCAAGATGCACTTTAGGTGTCTTGAATATTCTGGATGTTCACTATAGTATTACCATGCAAGGGTCAGCAGAATAGTTGTTGTCTGTTGCATGGTGCACAATATAGCAAAATGAAGGGGTCTACAAATTGAGGGGTAGAAGTTGGGCCTAAAGCAACAATATTTGAGCAGGAGGACAATGAGAAAGATGAGTAGGGAGAGGAGGCTCCTGTTCAACCTCAAGGAACTGATGTGAAGAGGAGGAAGAGGCAGCAAATGCTAGGGAGCAAGTCCATGTAGTCGTGCCATATTCTTTGCAGTGGAGTGCATCACATAAAGTCTGTAATCCAGAATTAATTCTCCTTGACTGTTAAGTCCACAAGTTGCAACAGCCTGTCCCTGGTTAGCAGCTTCCACATAGTTAGCCTTTAACATAGAAGCCACACATCTTCAGGGAGATTCCCATCCCTAACGAAAACCAACAGCATGTACTGAGATTGTGCTATAAACATAACTAAAACCATAAGTATCATAAACTTTGGCTTCAACATACTGCAGGAATACAGCTTCACAACTGGATTATTCATGTAAATATTTGAAGCCATTAATAAGTCTTTGAAAATGCCATCCCGTGCCTATTCAAACCAAACCCATTATGCCAAGTGTCAGTAGAAAGCAGGACATTACACCCATGACCTTCACAAATGGAGCAAATGGTGCTGCAGCGATTACATTATGTGCAGGGTGATTCGACATGTATGTTTGAACATCTTCTTCAACTGTCTTCCACATTATCCACCTACTACCAGAATCTGGCTTCAGAAGTGTGGAACATCTAATGCTGCCAGACAACTTGTCTTCTTGTTAATTCATGGCCTCTTCCCTGTTGAAGACAAATGCTCCAAATCTAGTGCGGATACCACACAATCGCACTTCCCTGCAGCATGGATGGCGTATTGACATGTGGGAAACCATGTCAGTGACTGTGTAGCACTCAAATGGATGGCTGCCATTCACACTGGAACTGCATCTGATAAATTGAATTTGATCTTTGAATCTGATCATTGATCCTTCCTTCAAGACAATTCTTGATGGACATGAAATGCTGCAAAGAGCAACACAATCTGCAAATTCAAATGTACTATTCTTCTCTCTGATAGCCTGGAGAAGGAACTGTCAGGAATGATTGGATACACCCTTGCTTTTAATGGTTTTTATGAAGAAATACAGACTTCAGCATGTAGTCTTCTGTGCCACTGGTAAGAATTGCCTTCATTATGCAAACATTCTCATTGAGAGGGCATCAGTGATTGGAAGCAGACCAAAACACTTTTGGCAACAGAGATTTGTATTTTGTCTTTTCAGCAATCTGGTTAACATATCTTCAAATTATGTCTTCTAATGGTTTTCTAGTGGCACAGTGGCTTAGTGGTTAGCACTGTTGCCTGAGTGCGCCGGGAATCTGAGTACAGTTCCAGCCTCAAGTGACTGTCTGTGTGGAGGTAGCACGTTCTCCCATTGTCTGCGTGGGTTTCCATCGGGTGCTCCGGTTTCCTCCCACAGTCCAAAGATGTGCAAGTTAGGTGGATTGGCCACGGGAAATGCAGGGTTGAAGGGATGGGGTTGCAGGGATGGGGTAGGGGGTCTGCGTGGGATGCTCTTCGGTAGATCAGTGTGGACTTGTTGGGCCGAATGGGGATTCTATGCATTCGAACTCTTCAGCTACCTTGACCAGTTTATCAAGTAGTTACACATGTATGAAAACCATTCTTTGGTGCAACTTCACCATGCACTCCAGCATGGTTGTTACCAAACACCTATCAAATCACTTCTGCACACTAATATCAATACCTTAACGTCATTACAGACATTCTTGATTTCTAGATGATATTATCAAAATCCAGAAAGATAGGAGTTATCTCTGTCATAAGAAATCCCACTGGCTCATTTAGTGGCCAGACTACCAAATTCAGTTCTTTTAAAATCATAAGCAAGGCCACAAATATCTCCAAGAGAATGCATTCAACTTATTAGTCTAATTTACACAGTCCTTTTGTCGTTGCATAAAAATATCAAATTGATATATTCAATTGAACTATAACTCAGTTGAGTTATTTCCATTCCTATTTGGTGTTTATCTTCCCTAACTCTATCTCCTACCTTTTGATCATTTCCACATAACATTTTCTACATTCAAAAGTTGCCAACTTAGCTTGTTCAGGAGTCTTGGATCAGCATTACAGCCAAATACAAATGTTTTCACAATATTTTTAAAACAGATCAAATATTCCCATGTGGCTCCAGGAATCACTAAATTTTATTTGGCTGTTCTTGTTCACTGTTTATGTGACATTTCATCTTCTCAAAAGTAACTTGCTGGGTTTCGCATAACTTTTCCTTATTTTAAAACTACCTTAAATTCAAATAGTAGTTTTGTTGTGCTCATAGGTTTTACGAGCATTATGTTTATTTCTTTGGAAAACATACCATCTTTTAATTCTCAGAAACCAACTAGACTGTTCTTCTTTTTACATTTAACACTAAAATTCATCTATCCCCTTAAACTTCACGTAAGTCTCTCTTTCAGTTCTTGAAATAGTAATTCATATCAGCTATTTTATCAATTCTAATTTCAGAAACAGACTTGGCAGCTTTAAATGGTGATTTTACACCAAAGGTATAAATACTGGCAATCAGATTAAAAGTAACTTCCATGTCTCCAGTTCTCCAAAATTTTTCGCGTGATTTTGTTTCGTATTCATGATTAAGTGCGAGAGGATAAGCATCTTAGATAGCAACTAACATACTGCTCCCGTTGCGTAGATGAGTCACTGGATCATTCAACAATCAGCTCATTAACAGCTGACAGGCAAGTGTGGACAAGTTGCTTGGCCTATCTCAGGCATGGCCTCCCGGGTTGCCAGAAACTGCAATCCATTCAGAGCCAACAGCTTCTGGGACCTGAAGATCACCATTGAAGCCTATGCCTCAGATGATTCAGCGGTGAAAATGTAAATAATATTTACCTCCTTGTAAGGGTAAATGGGGTTCAGAGGCAAGTGTACAGGAGTGACTTTCAGAGATAAGGAGAAGAAGAAGAGTACCGTATCAGGGCTAACTTGCCCAATTATATCCCTTTCTTAACAACTCTCTCACAACTCCAGGGAAGGGAATATTCTGCACCTCAGTCTTAGAAGATAATTGATGATCTGAATGGTTAAGGCTAATCTCTGAAAGGTGATGCCTTTGTCCAAATTTGATATCTCTATGTAAATTACTGAATTTTCATGATTTATTTGTTCTCCAGCTGTGGTATTAGTATTTAGATTGCTTGGGAAACCCATTTTTTTTTAAAGAAACATAAGAACAACATCTACTGCAGCTCTGGTTTGAAGCTCAATGATTTATTAATATCCATTTGTAAATTAGAAACTTTAGTAATGTACAAATATACACCGAGCAATATGTAAATGCTTTTCATCCAAGATTTCATTTTGCAAAATCAGGATTCTACAACCAAAAGAGCTAAAGATTGGCACCAGATTTAACAATAGCACCACAAAACTTACAGACTGATGGTAGAAGAGAAACAGAATATTTCTGATATCTCTTTTGGTTACCCCTTTTCTCCCTTAAAATAATTCTTCAGTTCTGAGTTCAAATTGACTTTGTGCCATAACTTTAACCCCTTGGTTGTATTTTGAAAGAACAAACTGATTTAAACTCAAGTTTTTCACCCAATAACTCCCCTGTGCACAGAATCTCATGGAATTTCAGCTTAATTTTAATGTCCATTATTTCCAAAAATGTTTAGCTTATGCTTCAAACTAATGTTTTAATTTTTGATGTTTGCGAGCAACACCTTGCTTTATCAATGACTTGACTCAAACATAAGGTATAATATCACAGTAACAGTAGTGGAATCTCTTTGTATGTACAGTGGAATTTTTGGTAAAGGCATCTTTGAAGCTACTTCGGACCTGAGGAAAATCAATGGCCTACTCCCCCACAACCCTTCAGAGGTCATCCTTGAGCTCCTTGAACAACCCTTTCACCACAATATTTTGGCTCAGCTCTTGCCTTAACTCCAGGAAATAATGTGACCAGGAGAATCTATGGAAATCATCAAATGGAGTTTTGCAAATTTAGAATAACTGAGATTTTCTCTTGTCAATCTCAATGGAATGTTGTATTCCTGACTACAAATGGTATGGCTAGCCTCCTCCCTCTAAGTCACATTGTTTTTCCTGACAGTGTACAGCTGCAATGGTCCTCATTAAGGCTCAATTGCACGGTCTCATCTTGAGAATCGGGTAAGAAGAGGGATTTGGAATGGCAAATGCTCATGCCTAAAGGTGTAAATCAGTCATTCCCTAAGGTATTCTCCATACTGAGTATATCATCAAGAATTGCCAGATTGTTGTCATCTCTATGGCTGTAGCTTGTGAAGCTCTTCCAGCCTTACCTTGGTAGAGTGCACTCCACTGTGAATAGGCAGAATCCTAATATTTACCTGTGGAACATCCATGATCTGCCACGCCAGTCAGTGTCAGCACCAAGTTGAACAAATATTACAGTTAAATGGAGTCAAGGTGCAGATGTGGTGTGCTTTAATTGAATGGCAGAACAAGTTTTATGTGCTGAATGGCTCACTTTGTTCCTATGTTATTTCCGTATTTGTTCTTTACATTTACTGCTTTTAAGGTTCTCCTCAGTCATGTTTACTATTGTGCTCTCTTTGACACTCCTTAGTGTGCTTTTGTTTCAGTGACCTATCCTGCCAAACTACTACAGTATATTACACATCAGTTAAATATTACATCATTAACATGATTGTTTAAAAGGACAGCCTGCCTAGACACCAAAATATTCTAATAGGAAAAATAATCTATAACAATATAATAATAGTCTGTAAAACAAGTTTGTGTAAAATGAAATGGATATTTTGTTAGTATGAAGATATGAATTGCAAAACTAAATTACTCTCAACAGAGGGAATAGTTGAGATTTTAGGCTGAAGTTTCAACTCATTATTCCTAAAGCAAAAACAATGGTTAATGGCATAGCACCTATGTAGTCACAGCAAAGTTCATCAGGGCTGTCAACTAGAAAAAGATGTCTGAAAGGTTGCCTAGACAACCAGAAAAATGCTGGAGATCTATTTACGTGGATATCAAGGAGCTACTGTAAATTAAAATTTTTGAAATGAAGGAATTGCTGGCGTGGCCAGCATTTGTTGTCCATCTTCAGTTTCCCTTGAGCAGGTGGTGAGGAGCTGCCTTCTTGAACCACTGCAGTTTGCCACTGCTATTAGGCAGAGTTCCAGACCTTTGAACCAGCGACAGTAAAGGAAAGGCAAAATACTTACAAGCCAGGATAGTTTGTAGATGGTGGATGGGGAGGAGGGGTGGGGGCGGGAGAGAGCTTGCAGGTGATGGCATTTCCATATGTCTGCCGACTTTGTACAAAAGATCACAAGTTTGAAATATGCTGTCAAAAAACATTTGCCAAATGACTGCAATGCATCTTGTAGATGGTGCATGCTGCTGCTGCTATGCACCAGTGGTGAAGCAAGTGAATGTTTAAGGTGATCGATTGGATGCCAAACAAGCAAGCCACTTTGATCGTGATGGAATTGAATTGAGCGTTGCTTGAGCTGATTGCTCAATTTTCAGCACTTTTTACGACTTCTCAGATATTGTTGCACGCCATGGTCAAATGCAGTAAGTTCTGGAAAACATCCAGGCTTAGGCTGATAAGTGGCAACTAATATGTAGGTCACAAAATTGCCAGGCTCCAACTATCTCCCTTTGGCATTAGTGGCATTGTCATCACTGAAACTCATACCACCAACATCTTGCGTGTTATCATTGATGAGATCCTAAATTGAACTAGTTATATAAATACTATGGCTATAAGAGCACAGTTGTTGGGAATTCTATGGTGAATAATTCATTCCTGATTTCCAAAAGCCTGTTCACCATCTACAAGGCACAACTCGGGAGTGTAATGGAATATTCCCCACTTGACTAGGTGAGTGCAGCTCCAACGTTACTTGAGAAACTTGATACCATTCAGAACACTTGATTCACAATCCACCCACCACTTTCAACTCTCTCCTCTACCAAACACAGTGTGTGCCATCTACAAGGTGCACTTCAGCAGCACTTTCCAAAAAATGACATCTATCACCTGGAAAAACAAGAGTTGAAGATGTATAAGCGTACCGCCACCAGCAAGCTTCCCCCTAAAAGGCACACACCATCCTGACTTGGAATTATATCGCTATTCCCTCAATGTGCCTGGGTCAATATCTGAAAGGAGTCACTTCCTAACAGCACTCTGGATGTGTCTATCCCCCATGGACTACAATGGTTCAGAACACCAGCTCACCACCACGAAATTAGGGGAGGGAATTAATTACAAACATTGCCAGTGATGCCCACATTCTGTAAATATCTTTTTTTAGATTGGCAGTAAACGTCCATTTTCATTCTCACCCACAGTGCTTAGTGTATATAAATATATGTTGGGAATTTGATCAGCTCCAAGCTTCTATTTTCTGATGTCTGAGAGCCATGCCACAGTATGAATCGGACAGGGCAGGAAAGCAATTGGGATCTGGGGAGAAGAATTTCTTCTCAGCGCTCATGTCATTGGTTTATTTTCCAGGAGTGAACCTTTGAAGACATATTTAAATTTGTTCATGATCCTGTTATAGTGAAGGTAACATTTACAAATATAATGAGTAACAATTAATTACCAAGAATCCTCAAGCTACTGTAATTTCTAAATATGACCTTTTTCTGATCTTAAAAATGTTATTAATATTATGCAAAATTGTATTGTTTTATTCAGATGCCATACATCATTAGTTGAAAAATAATCAAGCCTGTGTCAAAGAGAACTATTAATCTGACAATTTTAAATTATAATTACAATGTTGAAATCTGAAATCAAGCACAAGTATATCAAGTCTCAAAATTGACTAGATTAAATACTCTTAATTTTAAAAAATTGAATACTTTTGATCAAATCAAAATGATTCGATGGTTGGATAGTAGATGCAGATCTTTGGTCATCTAAATTACTAGTTTATCTTGTTTTGGTCTGAATAGCCCAACGTTCAAAACTGTCAAAATAGATCAGAAACCTCCAAAATTTCTCTATTAACATCTTCCAATCTTGATAACTTTTAATAATATTGTGTTGGTGCTCAGAATTGAGATATACTCTGTTTCAGGCACCGAATTTGGCATTTTCCACATTAATTGATCTATACTTTTGTTGAATGAGACTGATAATTGATGCCAGATTAAAGATGTTTTATGCTTTTTTTCATACACAAAATGGTTAGCTTGAGACTACCCAAACTCATGGAAAGTAGATAGAGAAAGCTTTCATCTCAGGCCCCAAGAAGACCTTCCACATCAAGCAGATGTTTGCCTGCACATCTGCTAATGTGGTATACTGTATCCGCTGTTCCCATTGTGGCCTCCTCTACATCGGGGAAACCAAGCGGAGGCTTGGGGACCGCTTTGCGGAACACCTACACTCGGTTCACAACAAATAACTGCACTTCCCAGTTGTGAACCATTTCAACTCCCCCTCCCATTCCTGAGACGACTTGTCCATCCTGGGCTTCCTGCAGTGCCACAACGATGCTACCCGAAGGTTGCAGGAACAGCACCACATATTTTGCTTGGGAACCCTGCAGCCCAATGGTATCAATGTGGACTTCACAAGCTTCAAAATCTCCCCTCCCCCGACCACATCCCAAAACCAGCCCAGCTTGTCCCTACCTCCCTAACCTGTCCTTCCTCCCACCTATCCCCTCCTCCCACCTCAAGCCCCACCCGCATCTCCTACCTACTAGCCTCATCCTGCCCCCTTGACCTGTCCGTCCTCCCTGGACTGACCTATCCCCTCCCTAACTCCCCACCTACACTCACCTTTACTGGCTCCACCCCCGCCTCTTTGACCTGTCTGTCTCCTCTCCACCTATCTTCTCCTTTATCCACCTCCCCCTCTCTCCCTATTTATTTCAGAATCCCCTTCCCCTCCCCCATTTCTGAAGAAGAGTCTCGGCCCAAAACGTCAGCTTTCCTGCTCCTCTGATGCTGCTTGGCCTGCTGTGTTCATCCAGCTCTACATCTTGTTACCTACGTAAGCTTAGGTGATTAAAACGGTCACCATTCAGTTTCTCTCCATGACCTCGTAAAATAGCAAACTGCAGATAAATGAGCTAAGATTAGGTAATAATGAGACGTTATTGCATGTCAATAATGCCCCTCACCATTCACGAGTGAGATTTTGATCTCACCATTGAAACTTTGGTTGTAGAGTTGGACTTATTTTTCTTGACGTTGGGAACCTCATTTTTCCAATCTCACCATAATTCCCCAACTGACTTCCCATTGTTCAGAAGCTGGGAAGATTCCACCCAGTGAGAGAATTTCAGGTCAACAATTCTTCACTAGAACTAGGTACCATTAGAAATATAAGAATTAAAAGCAAGAGAAGGAAGGGAAAGAGCAAAAGGAGACATCTGTGATAAGATGACAGACAGGAGAGATTATTATCAAGAAAGGTTGGTAGTGCAATGCCAAAGGGAGTGGTAATAGAACAAAAAAAACAAATTAAATGTTTTAAAGGAAATGTGAATGACAGAACTAAGCACTGCTGCTGGCTGAAAGAAAAAATTGGAGAAAATAAAGGTGAAAAACAAAATCTGCAAAGGAAAAGGAAACAAAATTGGCATACAGATAATGAATTTAATTTAATTTATTCACCAAACTTTTCCTAATTACAAGAATAACGATTCAGAAGGAAGATCGGATCCTATTTAAAATCAAAAGGTTCTGTTTTGTGAATTGTCTCAAACTCCCTAAAGTGGTAAAAAATTTTACGAGAAAAAGGCATTCACTAAAAGAGGCTAACTATCAGGAAAATAAATCCGAGCATGTATGAACTCCAACCAACCGATAGAGATGAGGTCCAGTGTGACATGCACTACAGACATATTCAGAGATTGGGCCTATTCCTTGCAGGCCTTGATTTCGGCACAGTGATTTATATCTCATTTTGCTGGTTTGCCAATGCAGCATTTCCTTAATGCTAATATGTATTGGAATTTTTCCCTTTATATTTAAAGCCAGGTTTACACAGTGATCTGTTCAATTTGGATTTTAGGAGACTGTTTTAAATTGTCCTTTTAGTTATGAAATTAAATTATATTTTAGTGTTAAGTTCATCTTGAGGATAGCACATGGTATTTGTGCTGTTTGTTCCTTTTCTAGCCTGGCAATGGCTCATAAGCACTGTAGTAATTGAAACCAGCTGGATCTTATTGACCAGGAGATCCTTGATTGGGATTGTTAACCAGGTCGAATCAGGGAGCTCTGGCTGACAGGTACAAACAGGGGATTCAGAGTCTCCTAACTTAGGGACTGACTCTGAGCTGGCTGGTCACAGGCAGTGTACTGTGCACATGTGAATAAGTGGTGACTTAGTGACAGGATACCGGCCTCTGTGCCCAGTTATTTCAGACACCAAGTCATCAGCTATGGAGAACACGTTTAGCAGTATAACCACCATCAACTAGTTCCTAGATAGTGCTCCAAAGAACTGAATAAAAGAATAGTTTCAAAGAATCTTGAGTTTACAATATTAAACTCAATTTCCGTACTATGGTAGCAAAATGACAAACCCAGTTTCTGTGTAATTACATTGTTGTTGCCAGTATATTTGAGTCAGATTCAAGCTGCTTTTAGTCAATACAGTGTGGAGCTGGAAGAACACAGCAGGTAAGGCATCAGAGGAGCAGGAGAGTCAATGGTTCAAGTCAGAACCCTTCATCATGAATTGTACTGACTCTAACTCCAGCATCTGCAGTTCTTGCTATCTCAGCCTGCTTTTATACCGGTTATTGACTAAAATCCTTTAATCATGGATTTGATTTGTTGTTGTTTCCGAATCTTTGTTATATTCCATTGCTTTCCTAATCCCTTAGCATTGACATTGAAATAATCCAACAAAGTTTGTTGTTGCTAAATTATGAGTCAGACTATTAAAGATTAAAGTCATAAATTGATCTCCCACCAGCCTCCAACGACTGCTTTCTGCAAAAGCACCATTGAAACATCATTGAAAGTGAGACTCAGAGGTTGGAGAATTAAACTAAAGAAATTGCTTTGAGACAATTACTGCAACCATAAACACTTGCAGACTGTATCACTCAAAACTGATAGCCATCTGAAGTCGACTAGTTTTCCTCTCCCATTCTACCCTGCTTTTACTCAGATATTTACAATGTAATCAATTTTGCATACCTATCCTGACCATGTACAGATGCTTCTATATTCCTATTGATAAAATTCCAGCTCTCTGTTCCAACATCTAGGGAGTTTTTGGCAGCCTCACTCTTCTGGTTATAGCAATGATTCTATAATTCTGTGCCTGCGTACTCACTAGGCAACAACATCTTAGAGAAACCAATGCTCACTTCACTCTCTCAGCCACACGCACACATTCATTTCACAATAAATTACAACATCAGCAGCAAGAGAAGGCCCTTTGGAATACCAACCTCTGTGCTCTTGACAATAATTCTTAGTGTGAGTTTCCACCAGCAGGATGATTTACCTGATGTGGCAATGCTTTGTTATCTCGTGTGATGTAAGAAACTGGGCTTTGTTACCAGAGCATTGAAGAATTCAACAGATAACCAGTATATAGAATCATTATGTTCCTCAGGCACATCATCTATCTGAGCTAATATTAAGCTATTATATTACAATAAGAGAGCATGCTCCCAGTAGAATGTCTTGCTTCAAGTGATCTTAGGCAAGATGACGTACGAGATCTTTATCCCCTCAGGTCACATGCTATATTACAGTGATGATATCCTATGTATGCACATCTAAGAAGTACTGACATATGACCATGAGACTACACCTTCCCCAAGCACCAGATTATTCTACTCACTTTCATCTAGGAGCTCTAGTAACAATCTTTCTACTGGCCTTCCTGTAGTACCAGCTGTGGCCCCTGCCTCCAGTGGCACTGCCAGCCTCTGATTGACCAGCTTCTTACCCTGCACTGGGAAGACCTGTGGGAAATTGCTCCTAGTGGAGTTAGCAACACAATGGCAGTCACAGGCTGCATGAGTAGAACTTAATCCAAATGGGACTCCCAGAAATAATCATGACTCAGTCTCCATCAAATCCCCATAGACTGCTATAGTCATTATATTCTGTTCACTGATTTTCCACCATTGACAAAGGTAACGTGTCTATTTCTTGTTGTTAAAGGAGATATATTTTCTTAAGTCTTCTCAGATTTTGGTGAAATGATTGGTGTAAAACCCAGGTGAAATGGTATAAAAAATCTGAACCTCCGACAGATGATTATATAGCTGTGTAAGAGTACAATGCAGTTTGTCCTCTTCAGCATTTTCCTCAAAGGCAAAAACACTGTTTCTCTCTTCCATTTCTCTCCCAAATTATTACACTTACCTTAAAGGAATCTGTCATCATTTTTGACAAATGTCAGTTTGGTCCAGAGGACCACAATATAAGGCTACAGCCAGCAGAAATCTTTCTCACAAATTTCTAACATTTCCAAGAGCAAACGGAGGCCAAGAGGCACAGGTTTCCGACATCGTACATTCGTGTCAACAGTGGCTCAGTTGATAGCACTGTCCCTTCTGAGTCAGGCTTGACGGTTTAAGTCTCATTCCATAGATTTAAATTTTTTGAAATCTGTGATGATATTCCAGTGCATTTCTGAGGGACAGCTACACTACAGCCTTTGAAGTATATTTAAAGCAAAGTGTTATCTGCTCTCTCAAGTGAATATAAAAAAAATCCCATGGCACAATTTCAAAGAAGAGAAGGAAAAATATCCCCAGTTGGATCATTTTTTCACTATTACATTGCTGTCTGAGGGAGCTTGTGTGCGAATTAGCTGCTATACTTCCTACGTTAAAACCATGACTATACTTCGCAAGTCATCAATGGCAGTAAAAGGTTTTGAATTTTCTAACATCATG